TTCTTCTTCTTCTTCTTCTTCTTCTTCTTCTTCTTCTTCTTCTTCTTCTTCTTCTTCTTCTTCTTCTTCTTCTTCTTCTTCTTCTTCTTCTTCTTCTTCTTCTTCTTCTTCTTCTTCTTCTTCTTCTTCTTCTTCTTCTTCTTCTCCTTCTTCTTTTTCTTCTTCTTCTTTTTCTTCTTCTTCTGCTTGTGCTTCTGCTTCTGCTTCTTGTTCTTTTTCTTCTGCTTCTGCAAGTCGTGCTAGATCTGAAACAGACGTCAAAAATCATGCTTAGCAACGTATTGCTCTTCTCGGATGCTCTCAAAAACATATTATTATCCTGGTTTTTCCCTACCCTCATCTGTATCAGTGCTATTCCTGGTCTACGTCGGCCTCTTTTATCTATTTGGTTTTTTGTTTACTTGTTTATTTGAGGGGGGGGGGGTTGTTTCTTTCTTTTATTGTTTTGTTATCTTGAAAGGAAAATGTTTATTTCACCAAACAAAATGTACATACATGTATTCGAAACAGACCAGGTGAAACATCACCGAGAAGACTGGAGTTAAAGTAGTCTAGTATTATTTTTTTCAAAAAAAAGATAAACAAATGTGGCATTTATTGTAAGAAGTGTATCAGGGGCCTGTGGTGTAGCGGTGAGCCAACGCAGAAGACATGACTTCGATTCCAGCTTGGGGAGAAGCTTTTTTTTTCTAAAATCGGGTATATGATATTATATTGTCAGTTGCTATGGAATAACATCCCCCTCAGCCGATATTGGCCCTGGCAGACAAGATTAAAACAGTCACCAACAAAATCATATTACTTTGCTTGTATCTTTTGAAGTGGAAAACGTATACGATAGTATATTTTTTATATTTCGTATTATTTTTACTATCATTGTTTATTTGGCGATTTAGAAATGATGGTCATATCTTTTGGATGTTTTCGCTGTCTTTGGGCTGAGAGCCAGGACGGTAATCCCATCATTATGGTTAACAGAACAGGGAGAAAGGATAATAAACGTCGTTTGCTTTGGGCTGGACTCGACAACATGATATTTATGCCAT